GTGCCTTAAGGAATGCATCTGGGCTAATGAGTTCCATTGGAAACCATCATTGTCTAGAGTAGCACTGATCAATAGAACTATTTTACAAAGATTCTGAGAGGAGTGTGGTCTGCGTCTGCAGCGTTTAACTCTAGCCTTGTGGGCCTGTTGAGAGCTTGAAGTGTAACTAATGAGATGGACAAATTGGGTTTTAAATTCTACTTCACATTAATAAATTTCAGTAGTCACCTGCGGCTGGAAACTACTGCATTAGTTAGATGTGACAAAGCAGCTCCACAGCATTCTTAGCAAACGCTTCAGTGTGGGGAAAGCCTCTGACAGTGCTCCAAGGTGGAGATGGGTGCATGGCGGAGGATAATGTTCTGTGTCTGGGAGATTACTCCCTTCTATGCAAAGGTAGGAGGTCAGGCAGATGTACAGGTTCCTTCCATCTAAGGTGTGCTGTGAGGATGTCATAGCTGATGCTTCTACCATAGAGAGAAGCTGTTCTCAATGGGCCAAATCGATGGATAATTCTGCAGCAGTCCTGCCAGCCCTATTCACTCATACCTAAATGGCAAGGCAAGGAGCGTTCTGCAGGGGAAAAACTGACTGGAATATTTCTGTGGTCTTATTGTTTAACTCAATTTTGCAGTGCTAGATATGAACCCCAGGCATTCACAGTGAGCCACATCCTTGTACCCACCAACCTCCTGTGAGACAGGGTCTGGCCAAGTCACCTAGGCTGAACTCAAATTTGTGGTCCTCTTAGCTCATCCTGCCAGGTGTTAGCATTACAGGTGTCACCCTGCCTGACTTTATTGTCTTATTAGACAAAAGAGAATCTTACTGTCCTTCTCCCCTATTGGATTTTCCAATTGTTTGGTTTGTCTTCCTGTGTTCTAATGACAAATCTTGGAAATTCTCAAGACTTGGCAGTCTCTGATTGGTCTCAAACACTTCTAATGCCTTACATGCCAATGCCTTGTAAATTCCAGCATGCGTCTCTCTAGAGCCTCGCTCCAGCTTCTGAGGACCAGGGTATTGTTCAATTGCTCACATGGCCTCACAGTTTAGTTATTTTATGGCTATTTCAAACTGGAGGTTCCAAGCAGAACCTATTTTCCTTGTTCAGCCTTTCTCTTCTGAAGCTTCCATATTTGATAAACTGTGTCATTTATACAGTTTTGGTAACCAAAAAACAAGTACGTTGTTTCCATAACTTAGCATATCCAAGCCAACAGCCTGTGCGATAGGCCTAGTTTCTGCCCCCAGACTGGATCTTCACCGAATCCTCTGCTTTTTCACTGCCACCACCCTACTTTGAGCTTCTCTCATATTTCACTTAGACAACTGGGATAACCTTCCCAGCTCTCTAAACTCACATCCTCCCAACCACAGTGATCCCACTTGGTTACTAAAGTGAATTTGCAAATTGTTATCATATCACTTTTCTGTCTTGCTTAATATCCTCTTTCATTTCTCATTCCTCTTAGAATAAATCTAAATTCTTTACCAGGGATAGGCGGTATGCTCTGTGGCTTGTTCCTGAATACCACTCCAGCTTCATTATTTATCCCATGTTCTTGAGCATTTTTCTTCACACACATTGGCCTTCACTGCCTGTGCCACATCAAACCCTTCTGCATGCCAAGGACTTTTCATTAGCTTTGCTAGGCTCTGTGCCTAGGACATCGGCTGACTGGTTCTTTCTCATCCCTTGGGCATTGCAGAGCCTTTCCATGACTAATCTCCCTTCGCAGTCTTCTCGCTGTTGAATACAGGAGCATTCTTTTGAGGTCTTTGACTCAAGTGTATTTTGCTTGTTCTTATTCGTTCTGCCTTCTTGTGTACCTTCAGGCCCATGAAACAAGGGTAATATCTAGTCTATTCATTACCATATCCTAAACTGCCAACACCATGTAGGTATGCAACAGATATTTCATAAATAGATCACTAAATTATTAAAGTGTGTGATGAAGATATTATTGAAAGTTTCCTTTTTAAATTTTCAGTAAAGGGAAGTCATATAATGGTAAATCAAGGCATTTAAACACCAATGCATTTTAATGACGTCTGGGCTAGTTGCCAATTTAACTTTAATAAATGAGCTTAAAAATGAAAAACAATCTTCTATTTCTTTGCATATAAATTTCATATTAAATTACTTGCTCTGTGGAACCAGTGAGAATGACTTTTGAGTCATTCTCAGCAGGTCCTAAATCAAAAGCGGAATGCCTTCTTTTGCCCTAGAGATTGAATGATTCCAAGACAGATGACAATTCTTAGCAGCCCAAGGCCAGAAGGGAACATGGACATCTAAAGACTCTGTAGCTCAATGAGGTACCCAGCAGAGGCTGTTTTTTTCTTTTCCGTTTCTGCACCACAGACTTTTATCTCCAAAGATAGCCAGCTTTTTACTTGTTAAAAAGATTTGCACTTTAAGTGGATTTAAGTTTTAATGAAGAAGTCAAGATATAATCAATTTGAAAGCTATTCATTGAGTAAATTGTCCTTTGGGGGCACTAACTCTCTAACTTGACTTTGCTCCATAAAAAGGAAAAATAAATCAGCAACTCAAGAACTCTTCTTTGCCTTTGAGTAACAGTCCATCCACCAACTGTCCTATAATTAGTGTGGGACTCTAAACTTGGCTTTGGTAAGAGGAAAGTGAGAAAGATATTTTCACAAAGGTAATTTCAATCTAACGCAATAACATTTGGGATTCACTATGTCAAAGGCTGGTGTTTGGCCACATAAAGATAACAGTGCCAAATCTGCATAAACTCCTACTCTCAAGGAACACAGTCACCAGTGAATTTGTTGACAGATAACTACAAATCATAAGGCAGAAGGCAAAACAGTTCCACAGAAAGTGAAGAACAAAACAGTATAGAGATTCAGTGAAGTAAGGTGCTCTCCTTGTGCATGTTAGAAAACTGTTCATAGAGGGTTCATCACTTTTACTAAGCTTGGGAAATTAACTAAAAGCTGAATATGTAGAGTGAGAAGACATTCTTAGTTCACCAAGGGCTTGAGGTCAAAAAAGAATGAGCTGTGCAAGGAAAAACGAATTGGTCAGGTTGGATAAGGGAGGAGAGAAGGGCTGGAGATAGAAAAGGTAACTTGGTGCACTGTTTTTCAGAAACCTAAACAATACCAAAGGCTCGGTGAACTTCACATCATAAGGGCTAGTATAACACAAGCAGTAGAGATCAAGACTGATGTGAGTAGAGCTGGGTAATAGGAAGCTCTGAACAAGGTCATTGGTGAGAGAGAAGATAGGAAAGTTTCCCAAAGTTTATGATGGTGACATATGGCAGTGTTGGAGTAATTTCAACAGGACTTGATAAGGTTCTCAGTGAGAGAAAGTGGGGAGATTCAAATGTTACTCAAAATATTTGAACTGGTTGACTGGAAGCAGAGTTATGCCTTCAAAAGAAATGTAAAATAAAGAAAGGTAGCTTTTGGAAAGAACATTACCTGTGTAGATTGAGAAGAATCAAGTGGAAAATTAATAGAACACAAAGTAGGGAGTCACAGGAGTAGAATTTGGGAGATATTTGAGGGCCAGGGATACAGCCCTGCAATCATTGTGATGGTCAGAAATCCCAGGGGTTGATGAATTTTTCAAGGCAAAAGGCATATTGAGGCAAATAAAGATGTATAACTGAAGGTACATATAGTCACTGGATCAGAAAACAAATAGAAAAATAAATACAAACAAGGAGTGTTAAGGAGCAAGGCTGGTCCTGTGTTGTGAAAACCAATTGAATAAAAATTTTGAATGGGGCAGTCTCATATGTCAAGTCTGTACCTCAAATGTGCAGAATTTGACAAATTTAAGACTTTTCAAAAGTTTGCAAAGTGTATCATCTTGTAAAATGAAATGTGGAGACACTGTGACACGGAGGAAGTAGTATGGGCATGGACCAAGAGGAGCTCGAGTGAAGTTCTGATCCTGTGTAGTTGAACAGTATTCTCTCCGGGGCTCAGTTTTCTGATTGGAAAACAAGGAAAATATCAAACTCAAAGAACTCTGGTGAGATTAAATTTATTACATTGCTATATAAATAAGAAGAAGCTGCTGGAAAAGAAAATCTGTTAATAGAATTCTCTGAAATCTATCTTCCACTTGCTTTCTATTAACTTGCAGAGAGTTATATGTTGTAGAAAACCACTACTTGGATTCATGAGTGGTTATGTCAAACTAGTTGTGAAGTAAATTTCAAGTATCAGTCATTACCCCCCGCCCCGGGGAAAGATTAGGGTCATAGAGCCTATGGAGCAAAGTTTGCTCTTGAAAGATCGTGCCCCCATCAAAGAAAAGAATAAAGCTTGTGAAAAAAACAAGACTTATAATGGAAAATCATGCATTCTAATAGAATGTGGATGGAAAGCAAGGACACAGAAGTATTCTTTGTTGTATAATTGTCCTAAAAGCAATGTTATATACACATCCAAAGTTAAACACTTCAGAAAATAAGAACCAATACCATGAACAGTCAGGAGAAACAAAGGGTAAAAAATGAGTCCAAGTCTGATTAATAGAGAGACATTGTCATGCTCATGCCTATCAGTTGCTATCAGAAAGTACAGAGGTACAGAGGTAAAGTGATGCTGAGTGTCTTTTGTTTTCATGAGTAGCCAAAGGAGAGCAAACAATGGTAACATAAAGAGCCTTGCAAATTTGTCTGGGAGTCATAGTGTACACAGTGAAGAATAGAGCTGAGACTTCACACTGATAAAAATGTAAATGCAGAAGCATTCTGTTTCCAGACAGGATGGGATAATTCCCTTTTAAATGATTTCCAGGTTTCCTTCTCTCAAGTCCATCTCCTATGATACGTTCAAATTTACCATATTAAGCCAGACCTCTGCCGTGATATTCTTTTAAGCAACTACATGCCACATTGACTATGCATGAAAGCAAAATGCATTTGGTAAGACCCTGCAGCCTCTCTGATTCCGGGGGTTATTTACTCATCTGTCCCCATCCTCATGCTGTCATCGCTTTGCAGGTCACGGCACATGTTCCTGTGGCCGCTGCGTTTGTGAGCAAGGATGGTTTGGTGAACTCTGCCAGCACCCGCGGAAATGTAACATGACGGAGGAGCAAAGCAAGAGCCTGTGTGAGTCAGCAGACAGCATACTGTGCTCGGGGAAGGGTGAGTATCTGAGTCCCTAAGACTGGCCTGGATTTATATTCTGACACATGGCTGGTAGGGCAGCAAGGAGCGACTCTTTTCCAGAAAGAAGTTTATGTGAAAGAAGGCACTGTGCAACCTGCCTGTACTAGATGGGAAGGCTGAACCATGCCCACTTGAGGTTTGGAGCCTAAGATCACTGACAGAATTTTCGGCATGCCTAAAAAGATAGAAATATGAAATAAAGGTGGCCTTTATTTTAAGAACATGGATAGAGAACCCCTGACCACTGAAATCTGGCTTTTCTCTCTGCCAGGCACATGTTGTTGGGGGGGCATACATATGGCTTAGGTTTGGGGTGGTGCCTACGCATTACTGATGCACAGGTAGCCCTTTGGAATTCATTTTGTACCACAGGTAAATTGCTTAGGGGCAGGGAAGGTGACCTCAAGATAAAGCCCGTTAGTTCCACCTTCCAACCTCCCACCGCTGCAGCATTTAGGGCAAAATCCTTTCAATCATGAAATGGCAGAGAGCATTGGTCCACTATGCCTGCCCATCACCTGAAGACACTCTTGCAGCCTCTCACAGGAGACTGAATACTGTGAAGAATAAAGGTAGCCAATAGATACATTTGCTTTTAAATGGATCCAAATTAGAAGAAAAGCAAACTGGTCATTGTGGTGCTTACCTCTGAAGTAGCACAGAGAAGAGCTGCAGAAAAGTGACAAAAACACGATTTCATTGACCCTTGAGGCTAAATGCCTTAAGGGTGTATGTGGAAGAAGAGGGGGGAAAGTGTGGGAGAAAGACAGAAAAGCATCCCGGTGCAATTGCCTTTGACAGAAAAAAAAAAAAAAAAAAAAAAAGAGTTACTTGCTCCTTTAGCAAGATAGAGTGCTAATAAATAGGGGTTTAGATTTTTAAATTTTGATCCCACCTCATGCAAGGAGCCCCATTTGAGGAGACATGAAGGAGGTTTCAGAGAGGAGGATGTGGGAACAGCAGGAAATATGTTCCCTTAGTAAGGGTGACTCATGCTTCCCTTATCACCTAAGGACAAAAACTGAGAGAGGCTCTGGGTGTACTTTCAGATATAAAAGCAGATGGCTGCTGTGCCCACCTCTGGTGCTTGGAGAAAGAAAGTGGACACAAACACCATCCTCTCAGTAGATGTCCGTGTTCCTGGTTTCAGGAATTCTGTGTTCCAGACTTGGGCTGAGTGTTGGGATGGGGGAGGGGCCCTGTCTGTAATCTCATGCTGTGACAGCAGGCAAGCAGCACTTAGATGAATTCCATCACTGTGTTCCCTGTCTTTCTGCCATTAAGCTTTCTGAAGCTGTAAGTCTCCAATTCATCTTCCTCCAGTTCTCGGCAGGGGCCTCAGCTCTTGGAAATAGTTGTTTTGGGTTCAGAGTGTGTTGAAAAAAGTCTTAATTTTTTTTTTTTAAAGAACAAAAGTTTAAAACAAAAAGGCAATGAAAGGATTGGAGAAGGGAGAGACTGATGAAGGAATGCAGAATGGAATTAATCAGGAGGAAGAGGTGTGCTCAAAACAGAGGAGCATCCAGCATGTAAAGAATATTGAGAGTGATGAACTCCTTCAGATTAGAATATTTCCTGACTACAGCTTCAGACACAAAGCTGCTAAATTTAAATGCTTGATTTTCTCCTTAATCGAAGTAAGGAGAAAAGCTTTATACAGAAGCTCTTCTTCGTGAGGACACACAGTCATTAGTATGCTTATTATATGTGTTTAAATCAAACCTTTTGTGTGTGTGTGTGTGTGTGTGTGTGTGTGTGTGTGTGTCCAGGTCCCTTATCAAGTCTGCAAGCTCTGTAGGAGACATGAAGCCACACTTGTGAATAACATCTGCTTCGCACAAAAGGCACTCCTTTTTAAAAAGGAAATATTCTATTTACAATCATTAGAGGTCCAGAAATGATTCTCATTTTTCAGCTCTTAAATAAAGAACATATTTTTTAAAGTTACGTTAATGAATTGTTAACCTAAAAGCAGTTGCTCAAAACCAAAATATTTTTCTAGTTAATGTCTTCCTGAATGGTTTGCTTTGGGTAGTGGAAATACACCCAGAAATCAATGAAAGGTTGGAAGTATATCTGCTTAAAATATTTGTTTAGCCTTCAATGGATAGAGTGCTTATAATCTTTAAATTGAAAGGAGAATATGAAATCTGCCCTTACGTTGCACACTTTGATGGCCGTGTTGGTGACGACCATTTGTAGAGTGACCAGCAGCTGGTTGCAGGCTGCTTTTATTCTTCCTTTTTGGAGACAACAGTGCTGGAATGTAGATGAAGAGGGGCTGCGACCATGAACCTGGGGTTCTTGTTAAATGCAGAAATGATGGGGATGCAGCAGTTATTCTAGTTCCCTGAAGAGTACTGCTGTGCACCACCCTGAGAACAACCAGTGTATCCTACACCTGGACTAAGGGACTTCAGCATGGTGGCAGGAAAGGGCAACCTATTTCAAATGGTTTGGCTAGAACTGTATATTTCTGAAACATCCCACAGACTTGTCTGGATTCTATACAAATCTTCTCAAATTTGTAAATGAAAACCTTTGTCCCCGATGAGCAGAAAGGATGTCCGCAGTTTTATTGTCTAATTCTAGGGCAGGAATGAGGGTGCTCGCAATCACCCCAACTCCCCAGTCTGCCGCCCACATCCTCGAAAACTCCAGGTCTAATCATACCCTTGCTGTGAACTGTGAACAAAGCTGTCACTTCAGGAGACGATGAAGAAATAGCATTTTATTTCTTTACAAATTTATAGCCAAGACAATAAATCACTCCATAGAAAAATTTAAAACAAGATACATTGTTGTGACCTTCATAACAGATGGAGTCGTTAGTACAGTAGTGGAAACTGCCTGCTGGGATGTCGAGTTGCAGCATTTTGTCAGGCTTGATGAATGAAAAAGAAAGTCCAATGTTAGTAATGAGACGGGGTAACCCACAAAAGTGCCTTGCCCTTAGACCCAAATTGTTTCTGTAAATAACTGAGAGAGATGAGCTTAGTGGTCAGATCTCCCCTAAGTTTAGCTACCTTTGCAGAATACATGATATAATTCTTTAGTTGGGGATTTATTTGAGTCCATGATGACACAGAAACATTTTACTTTAATGACTTAAACCTAGACCCACATCCTATATTCTCACTGTTGTGTGTCAATACACATCATGAAATGTCTCCATCAGCCTTCCCAAAGCTACCATTGGCCCTCACATCATCCAGTTAGTCCAGAGTCCACCCACCTGCCTCTCAGTATCCACCTGGCTGTCCTATATCCAAGAAATAAGAGAACAGATAAAAGTCCTGCTTCTGAAACCTAGCCTCATCCCACTGGTCCGGCTGCCTCATCCAGGAAGGCTCTCCCATCAAACTTGTGGCAGCAAACAGTTCTGTTTTGAAACCATAGGAAAGTTTTTGCTGTGAGTGACATCACAGATAGACTGATTGCTAGATCAAGGGTAGATCAAATCAGACTGAAATCTGAAGTTAAATGATGCTTATTGCCTGTGTGGTTCTAGACAGTGCCCTTATCCTCTTTGTTCTTCCCTTCTCATCTTTGAAAGCAGAGATTGGTTTCTTTTCCTTTCTTAAGTTCTAAGGATACTGTGAAGGCATATGAGAAAATGTGACTGATTCCCCAAGGATGGAAGCCAGCAAAAAGCACACACACACAGAGAGAGAGAGAGAGAGAGAGAGAGAGAGAGAGAGAGAGAGAGAGAGAGAGAGAGATAGGAGCATTCTTAAGAGTTCATCTTATATTGAGAAAGAAAAAAAATGGATTAATGGTGTTGTTTTTAAGAACTTACCACCCTAGGGCTCCTGATAAGATGGACCAGTTGCTCCCCATGGTGGACTGGGTCTCTGGTCCAGTGAGTCCATCAGCTGAGCTGAACAATCGCTCACCTCTGGGGAGTCACACAGCCTACACCTATTGGACAGAATCTTCTCCCTACATTTGACACTTGCCAGAGAGAGACAACTGATCCCCTTGTTGGTTATTGATGGTAACACCTAGAGCTAAAGAAGGTACTACAATAGATCCTAATAACTACTCAGACTGTGCTATGCTATTCCTAGTTATACAAAGCAGTAGAAGAATCTCCTACCTCTAAGATGCTTTGAGCATTGACAAATAGGAAAGAACAAACAGCTGGGAAATTGTTGACTGGGAAAAGCTACTGTTTCATGGCACATACAAAATCAATCCTCCTTTTATTTTTAAGGTCTAAGTATTTTGTGACTAGTAGACTTCTGGAACCGGAATTTATTAATCAAGTGCTGTATGGGTATATCCATATGAACTTTAGCTGACCTAACCAGTTTTAGAAAAATACTTCTCTATGGCATGAAGTTGAGCATTCCTAGAAGCATGGGCAGTGAACAGAATTTTTTCAAGCAGTGGGTAAAGGTAAAAATAATATGTAAGATCTCTTCATGAACTCTGACACTACAAAAGTTATCATAGTTATAATACATGAGTATGGTGGATATATCAAATTATTTAGTTTTGTTGTAGAAGGAATTTTTCAATGTAAGGAAAATAATTGTTTTAGAAGCAATTAAAAGGAGTAAAATTCTTCAAATGAACTTCTTTCATTCATGGAAACAAAATACTAAATATTGTTTCGTTTGAGGAAATTTCTTTGCTAATCATTGTAATGGACCATGTTTCTTTGTTGGCAGATTCATTACTAATCATTTGTCATATAAGCAGTCGAGTGTTGAACATCTCCATGCTTAGAATTCTGAAAAAAAAAAGGTCTTTAAAATTGGGGCAAATAAATTTCAAAAATAAGAATACGTTGTATTTGGATGAGACATGAGAGCCATGCGTTTTGCAGACTGACTTGGGAAGACACCCCTGAGTTCCAAGCAGCTAGCACATTTTTAATCACTGGGCAGAACTGAAAGATACTTATAGTTGGCCCAAAAGCCTGCAAATCAGCATAGAGTCTGAATAAAACAAGCCAAGACTCAATGAAATTATGTTGTGATCAGCTAGTAGTTGAAAATAAGTGTAAGAACAGTTCTCACAATCATCTACTTCTGTTTCTTTCCCTTAGCTTGGAATAAGCGATTGCTCAAGCTTGATTAGACCATTGGAGTCTCTTTCACATCTAACATATGTATAGTAGTTTCCACGTTGTGAAATACCGCACAGGACTTCCTGCTTGGGACACATTAATCTGAACCCTCCTAGGATATGTGTGTTAAATATAACTTCGTTTCCCTTATCACTTTATTCAGGTCGTTAATGACTTTTAAGTCCCTGTGTTCCAAGAGAAAGACTCAAGATTGATTCCTGCCATGGCTTCCTAATATATTTTGAACTTATATTAATCTTGGAATTTTGTTAACTACATCACAATGCTAAGTACTACATCATCTCAAAGTGATGCTTTTGACATTAAAAACTTAGCAATGACCATATTTTAGTAAGAAGAAATCACAATTAGAAAAAAGAACCAGCCTAAGAAAATGGAAAGGAGTTCTTTCTAATTTCAAAGTTGTCTTTCTTGATGTACTGGAAAGAATCTTACTATGTGAAGATTTATTTTAGCTTGTCACAAAAGCTGTTTAGATTGAAAGAACTTTCTTTCTTTGACACACCATTTAATCAGATATTATCATTGGTTTAAAATATACCATTGATAAAATTATTTCTTAGTAACTAAGTATTTTAATCAGTCAATATTTTACTAAGTATTTAAGCAGTAAGTTTCTTAGTAATGAAGTATTTTACGTGGTAACTTACTTAGTAACTTAGTAACTTTACTTAGTAACTTAACTTAGTAATTGTACTTAGTAACTTACTTAGTTACTTAGTAACTTTACTTAGTAACTAAGTAAGTTTCTTAGTAACTAAGTATTTTAATCAGTAAGTATTTTACTAAGTATTTTAAGCAATAAGTTTTAAAGATTAGGAAGATGGTTATAAAAGAAGGGAGATAGGTGAAATGGCAGGATGAAATGGTTGAACCTAGAGCCTCAGAAAGGGTGAACATTTGGTGTGGGGGGGTGATTCCAGCTACCTTTGACTATAATGGGGAATCCTGAGGATACGGTAAATGCTCATAACAACTTAGTTACTCACTCCCTCTACACATACCTGTGTGTACCTCCTTCAAAACACCAGGTAAACAAAAATCCAAAATTATGAAGCCACTAACTCAGTAGCTATTTCATTTATAAAATGCATCTTTGTTTACTAGAATATACTACTGTATTCCTTTAAAGAACAGAAATGTTCAAAACATGATTCAGTTCATAAAATAAAAGCAAAAAGGGGAAGAGAAACTGTGTATTTTTGCACACCTTTTTGAGACTGTCTCTAAGAATCAGCCACATTTTGTTCTCCTTGACATTTCAACCAGCCTGGGCCACAGAACGTTTGCCCAGGGCTAATTGCAACTGTCTCAATCCATAATGAAGGCTTTGGCGGATGACCTTTATGAATTACAGTAAGTGAAACTTCCCTCTGAGAAAGGAGCTATTCAATAAACTTTTACCTTTGAAAGAGAGGTTGTTAGAAGCCTATTGTCTGTGTGTCAATGGTATTCTATTCTAAATGGAAATCTTTAGTTACATAGGGACTGCAAGTAATGCCCTTTGCGATTTCAGGTTCTTGTCACTGTGGAAAGTGCATTTGTTCTGCCGAGGAGTGGTATATTTCTGGGGAATTCTGCGACTGTGATGACAGAGACTGCGACAAACATGATGGTCTCATTTGCACAGGTGCAGTATTGAACTATTACTGTTGTGTCCCACACTCTGCAGTGGAGTCCCACAACACCCAGAACATGGTGATTTAGGTGATCAGACAGGACAGGTTCCCTGAATCAAGTAGCAACTGAACAGGAAGTCGCTATGCAGAAAGTAAACGTTTTTGAATCTGCACTGGCAAAGTTAAGACAATTACATGATTGCTGGGAAATTTATACAAGGTAACCTACCCTACAAATGGATACTTACGAATTTATGTATTGAGAAAAAAGTCTCTTGAGAATTATTTTATTTTTCGCATGATGTAGGAGATGGAGTATTATTTTATGAAGGATCCAAGTGGCTACAGTAAGTGTGTTGGTTGTTTTCAGGCAACAGCAAACGTGTTGAGGGAGGAGTCAACTTACAGAAAAGCTCACCTTTGTGATAACCAGTGCTATTCTGTTTTGTTGCATCTCAGTAATTTCTTGTAAAATACATTTGCTTACACCAGTTACAAGGAAAATGAAGTCCTAGATTTTTCTGTTTTCCTTTCTATCTAAAGATAGAAATGAATATGTGTACAGCTTTAAATTAGAAAATCATTTTTTGTCACTCTTACTTGCTGTCCCCTGGCCTTCCTCATATTATGCCTGAGAGTCTTATAGTATTTCAGTATTTATTTGCAAATCAGGTGTAACTTGTTTTCAAAGAAAACACACAATTAGGGCATGGTAGCCCTACTGGAGCAGTACAGGATAGTTACTACCTGATTCATAGGTTATGGCTCCAAATAGATGCCTTTCATTGTTTGAAAGATCAGATTTTCTCTAGCTGCTTAATAAAATGCAGTATTGAGATCATCAGATAACACACCCCAGAGAGGGCGATGAGATAGCTCTCCTTATCAACAGGTAGAGCTTCTAACAGCCTATTTTGCTGTGGTATATTTTGACCCTAATAATGATTCTGTATTTCATTGCAGGGAATGGAATATGTAACTGTGGCAACTGTGAATGCTGGGATGGCTGGAATGGAAATGCATGTGAAATCTGGCTTGGCACAGAATACCCTTAATAATTCCATGGGAGAGGACTGGATTCTTATCTTTTTAGAGTATTAGAACATATAAATACAAAGAAAATCGTTTATAATCCACACTAGGACCAATTTAACAGACTATTGTATGTTTTTCTATTTCTGACTTTCTGAATGAAACCTGGGTACCCACTTAAGATGACTTCAGATAACTCTGGTATAAATAGCACTAGATAGAACCATTCTTTCAATTAACAGCAGCAGCTCCTGATGGGAACAGTATTGCCATGTAGAAGACATCAGCCATGGCTATAGACAGTGATGATTTTCATACTGGGTGAGGGTGTGCTTTGGGTATCTGACAGATAGAGGTCAAAGATGGTGCTAAACACCCTACAGTGCACAAGACTGCCATGCAGCAAAGAATTTTCTGGATCCAAATGTCTCATAGTACTGAAGTTGAGAAGCCTGAATAGCATAAATTTTAGAAAGCTACATTGATGACAATGATCATGTTACAATCTAAGGAAAAGATTCATTCTCATGTAAATCCATCAATCAGATTTTTGTAGGACTTCTTATCACTCAGCATGTCCAAGTGGGTCAATGAACAGAAACATATAAGGTATACTGTTGGTTAGAGCATAAGCAGATCTCAAATGCTTCCTAAGTGGGGGAAAAACTTGTTCATATATCAAGTGAGTCATTGGCTATCTCCCCTTAAACTCAAAAAAGACGATTCTCTTAAGATAAAGGAAGAAATTATGAAAAATGTACAATTTAACTTTTTAAATAAATAATGATGTAAGTCGTTTACATTCTGTGTCAATATATGTTTTTTACCTATTAAAAAGTAACAACAACAATGAATTATTATTCAAGGATATTCATTTTTAGGTTCCTAAACTACCACATTTTAGAAACTAGGCAGTGAGTATATGTGCAAGAAATCATAAAGACGGCATTTAGTTAGAAATATGATAAATCTGAAATAGGAGTTAATTTCTCTTGAGTCACTTTTCTTAGGAAAAGTAGGGTCATGCAAAGAAGCCAAAATGCCGTCTATCCCAAAAGCTCAGAAAGAGACCAAAAAGATAGATATGGCTTAAATAGAAATTAGAAATATTCATTCAGTGATTAAAAAAATGTTTATTTTCTTAATGGTAGAACTTTGTGTGGAAATCCACAATGAATTATGAAAATGTACAATTATTGGGACTTCCCTTACAGATATATAATTAGATCTACTTTCATACATTAGTTTAGGCAATGTTTAATTATTTAGAGTTAAAAAAACACATTTGTATCTAAATATGGATTGTTTTGCAAAGTCCTAAAATAATGTAGCAAAATCATTTCAATATTGTTTTAGGATGAAAGCTTTTACTTGGAAATATTATATTTAAGATGTAAATATTCTAGAGCCATGGCTTGGACTTTGTAGCACAAATCATCAAAATTAAGCAAAGTATGCATTCACTATGTTACTTAAAAAAATCCCATATTGAAACTATTTTGAGAGAAAATTTAACTGATGCTGATTTGTATAGTACTAATAATATTCTTATAATTTAATAATTTTTAAAATTGTTCTGTCTTGAGATTAGGGAATGAGACCAGTTTATCTCTCTTATTGAGGCATGTTGACTGATGTATCAGCTTTGTAAAGTGAGGGTAATATGGGTAGTCAGAAAAAATACAGATTACACTGCTTCCTCTTTTCTCTATAAACATTTTAAGTCTCAAGCCAACCTACCACAATCATTCAAAAGTAAATTTGATGGTTTATTTGGTGATGTACAGAATTGGGACTCATTACATGATTCAGCCATTGTAATACAACTGGATCTTCAGGGTTCTCTACTGCAGTCCTTATGCTTCTGTAAACAACGGAACAGTAAAGATTTTACACTGTGAATCACATCATCACTCTAGCGTCTTCTTTGATTGTTTACACTGAATATTTTTTAAAAATACAAAATACAGTACACAGAAGTTCATCCAAACAGCCAAGCACTACAAAAACAGACTGAGGGCTGGGTTTGGCTAAGAGCTGAGTACAGTCGGGCAAATTCTGCTTCACTGGTAGTACCCATAATTCCTTGTGGCTCATCACATAAACTCAGGTGTGTCTTATTTTGTACAATTCTCTCTATATCATTATTCCTTGTCATTAATAGCAATGACAACAAAGTATTTTTTATATTTTCATGCCAACAATGTCCTCACATTTCTGTATTCTAAGGAAAAGACTTCATATGTTGGAGAAGTTATTACATCATAAATTCAAAATGTGATTTTTCCTCACATTTGGACAAAGATGAAAATATGTACAGTTAATTATGTCCCAGGAATAAATTACAATTTATAAAGCAAAACCTGAACTATAACATAAGTCATATGGTATCTAAACTCTAATGAATATGTTTTCTATAAAAACAAATATTTTTTCACTTCTTTGTGTCTGCTGCAATAGTGTGTGTGGGGAGGGGCTTTCACTCTAACAATGACAACATCAGTATATCTGTAAAGAAGGGATTGAATTTTCAGGTTTTAGATGAAAAAATAGTTATGTGTAAAATTATAACTTACACCTCTCTTAAATGTGAATTTTTTGTTTGACTTTATTCTTATTACTAAGATTGAGCCTCTATTCTTTAAAAAGGCAGGAAAAGGACACATTTGTAATGGGGGGGGAGTTGGATTCATCATTTTGAAAAATTGCAGTGAGATTAATGTCAGTGAGGATGATGCCAAGAAATTTACTGATGGTGCTAGCACTGATGCTACTTGCTTGGCAAGCCTTCACAGAGGAATACCTCCACAGACTTTTTATTCAATAAAATCCAACCAAAGTCCTAAAAATAAAGAATCATTGTAGCTGCCTTTGTGGGTTTCCTGATCTCACCTAAAATCTAAAGCAGCGATGTTGAACTTTCGGCATGCGTTTTCAGCACTCCAAATATTGTCATTGAAAGCTCTTAAAGGTTCCTAACCCCTGGTCTAGAGTGTACTAAATGCAGTGGTCTTATGACCACAACTCCAACATGGTCTCTGATAGAAGACACGAGAAACACTTTCTGAAAACCAAGAAAGAAACAAAGCCAAAATATAAATAAATAAGCCTTTCTTTGAAGATTCAACTATCAAAACTTTGAAATTCTACTCTGTATTCCAGAGTCAGCCAACTTTGTAACCTAAAATCCTGAGCTATGGAATGTATTTTACTCTAATGTAACATTATTTACATTCTTCATTTTGGTATGCCTGGGTTTTGGAAAATAAGTAAGCCTTTAGATTAATATTACCCTGGATATCCATTCTTTCTTCCTAAAATAAAGCTGAAAATAATTTTAAAGTATTTTCACCTCCTCTTAATCTCTGAATATGAGTTAGCCCCCCCCCCGTCTCATCCAACATTACTTCTGCAATATTAGGGAAAAAACTATAAATGAAGCAATACATGTGTAACTTAAATAACAAAGTTTTCATTTTATGTTTTCTGTTATCAAAACTAAATCTGCTACTATCATCTTGATAAAGTGATTGTTGTAGTGCTTTAAGCAGCAATAAATCAAGTGGATAGATGATAAAAAGTACCTCTTTATACTTGCCAAGAATTCAACAATTAGAAGCACTGGAGAAGGAGTCCTTTAGGCCCATTGTGGATCTCAGCTAGTCCTACCCCAAAACAATAAAAACACACAAACACTTCAAGCAAGAATTTCTAAATTCACCAAGTTCCATAATGAAATGATGCTAAGTTCTACTTTACTCTTTACATAGGATGGACCACTTGCATTTCTTCTATAATTTTTCCAAGTAAGGGTGGTAGCAAATCTTAGAAAGTAGACTTACTATAAAAATGATATCACTTAAAATATCAAAAAGTTACACTTTTGAGTATTGTTGAAGGTGGGTAGAGCACTCAGCTACATAACAAACCAGCAGGAATCACCCTCCCATACCAGATATGCATGCAGAAAAAATGGGGTATTAGTGAGACTTGATACAATGGACATATGTACATGGAGATATGAAACACATGGTCTATCAATACAAATGAATTCCATCAGCTTCACTATACAGAACAGCCAGAGTGACAGATTGCAAAACAGCAAACTTAATTTCTGAAGGAAAAAAAAATGATGAAGTCTTATCCTGGAAGAGTAGGAAGAGAGGTATCATCAAAGAGCTAAAATTTTCTTTGGCATGGTAAAGGGGGAGATTGTGTTTACCAACTTACTTACATGACATTTCTCTATATAAGTGGGTGATGCAATGTCATTTTGTTACATAAAGTTGTTGGATGTTTATTCATATGCCTTCTTATAAATATTTTATTCGATATGTTGTATTTGTGAATACAACAAATGGTAGTAAACACAGAAACTGTACAACGCAGACAAACGCTTTGTATGTAAATTGAGTGATACATACCAACAGCTCTTGATACACAGGTTCCTACTACATGCAGTTCATTGGTGCTGTCCTCTTGCCATGCAACAGGTGAGACCAGACACAGGGCAAATGATCTAACTAAATTACAGGTAACAAAGATCCCTCTGCAGTATGTCTAAACATGTATTAGAAGAAAGTACTCTGACACCCGGTCTTGGTGATGAATGCCCCTATAGAACACCCATAAAAAAACAAAAAAGGTACACATTTACATAAATCTCAGTCATTTACAAAAATAAACCTTATCTTAATTTTAACCAATAAACAGGTTTGCAAGGGATAAAGAAACGACAAGCTGATTATCAAAAACATATAATTGGTGTGTGTGTGTGTGTGTGTGTGTGTGTGTGTGTGTGTGTGTGTGTGTAGTGGTGAAAGCAGTGTCTACAAAGCCCATTTAATTGGAAATACAAATTATTCATAGTTTGCCACATATTAAGGGATATATGTCTTTCCTAAAGAAGTGGTTAATGGACTTCATCTAATACATTTTTAACTTAAAAATAATGGGTTTAAAAATGGTAAGACACCAAATCCAGAATGGATAAAGGAATAATTTTGTTGTATTTGTAGTTTAACATTATTGACAAATTACTCAAATGTTAGCTGACTTTTTATTTATTAAACTGGAATCCAATATGAAAATGAAATAAGCATGAACATTAAATTTATACTGAACTTTTAATCAGCTAAGCAGGCCAAAAATTTTAAATGCTGGGCAAGGGCTGCCATGGAGATCTATGAAAGCAATGACAAAATAATTTCCCAGTAAATACAGTGCAGATGGGGGAAATGGCAATTGGGTTATCCTTCCACCTGGAAATAATCACAAGAGGCCAGTACATTGATCTCACAGCTTGTTTTCTGTAAACGGGGTTCAGTTTGGTCTCAACTCCTCTGAGAAGAAAACACTGAATTTTATTAAGAGTACATAGAGTTAACAAACATATTTCCAAACAGTTGAGTATTAAACATTGTGAAGCTCATTATATCCAATGTTGAACGTTTTGCATGGATTCTTCACTGAGTAGTCAACTATTCCTGCCCTCGTTGGTACCGTCTTCCCTAAGCGCAGAGTTTAGCAGTAGTCAATCAAAAAGGAACTAAGAAAGCGAAATCAAAGCTTTTGGTGGCCCCAAAACCTGATATTTGAGTGTGTTGGTTTTCCTTTATTTTTTTTTTCTAGGATAATTCTGAGATCATGGCAAGGCACCTCTAACCCAGCCAGGGGGCAACTGGGGGCCCAGGAGGCTGAGCTAGTGGTATGTCCCCGTGAGGTCCGTGGCACCGGACTCAGCATGCCGAGCTAAAAAAAATATTTTTTTCCTAATATGTCCAGTTTAAAAACTTGTCATTAAACACCAAAAATATTAAAGTCTAATTTATACCTTACGTTTGCATTGCTGCTGCAGAAAAGAACTCAACAGGCGCCTTGCCCATGCTTGGCTGGGTATGAGTGGAACGCAGCCCAAAACAGGGATGGCATTAGTTTGGTTCATTAAAAACAAGAAGGAGTTGATTGGAAATGGATTTAGGTAGCGCAATACTTCATAGGTCGTAATGATGGATCCTCCACCTTTTATTTCCCCCAATAATGAAGATTAATAGATGAAAAATGAACCTTAATCAGGCCTACAAGGCCTACAGAATTCTTTGGACCCACTTTCTCAAAAACTAGTGGGTCTTGCTCGCTGGGCAAGGCAAATGTTACCATTACCAGTAAGCTTGTGATATGTAGAAAACACACACACACAGAGAAACTAGAGGGCATGTCAAACACATATGCAGAGCGCTTTCCATGGACAGTGTTTGGCCCTCATCCCATTCAGCCAATGCCAACCTCGGGAGCGCGTTATCTGCTACTGGACAGAGCGTATATGTGTGTTTAATCAGTAACGTGAGCCAGAGACAACATTCTTAATCTTTAGAGATGCAATTGGTAATAATAGGTGTAGAAGGCTTCCTGATTCCCTGACTGCTCTCCGAACTAAGCCAACTGCAACCTCTCAGATTTAGAGGAACCCGATCCCTGCAAAAGGTCACAGACAGTGGAGCGAGCAGCCCTGTGAAAGTGAGGAGGAGAGAAATCCATAATAGCACAGTTTTACAGCTTCTAACTAGAAATTACTCAATATTATTAGTGTGCTACAAAACTGAACTTAAACACATGGATTTCGCCGAAACAGGACTCAAAAAGGATTATGGGGGAGCTGTCAGCAGGCAAGGAATTGAGTACTTGTGAAGTACGTCATTCACATGAAGTGTCACAGTCACAGAAAAGATAGTAAAAAGGCATTCCATATCTGGTAGGGCATTCCATGGTCTGAGTTTAGCTGGTTGTCCAGGTGTCTTCTTGCGTGGGGGCCACAGGTTGAGATTTATCCGTTTGCAACAAAGAAGTTCTGGGACAGCAAAGGGAAAGCATCCGCGTGCTCCCCGCCCCTGCTCCTCAGCCCCGGAGAGGAATGTCTGGGAAGGATAAATCACTCAACTGTGCTCAGGACGAGAAAGTCACACCACTCGTGAGGATCTGGCTATGTGGTCTTGCTCTTGTTGACTGGTTTGCCTCCGTTCATTATTGCCGACGCGCTTGTGCTTTTACTTGGCGTCACCCCAGTTTTCGGGACCGTTTCACCAACGTCATGCAAAGATGGTTCTCGGTACATGGCAACTAGGGACAGGAAGACAGGAGGAGGGAAAGGAAACATCGCAAGTTAAGTGCAAGAATGGCCCACCTGCGCATGCAAAGAGACCTAGGAGTGGGCCCATTTTTCTCCTCTTCTCCCACAAAATCAACCCCCCTGTGTATGAGTGTACTCACTCTTAGGTTCTCTGGTTTCTATACTGCAAATAATGTGCATGTGTTCACATGAATACACACACACATACCTGCGCGCGCACGCGTGCGCGCGCGCACACACACACACACACACACACACACACACACACAGAGAGACGCCAACCAGTTAAAGGAAAACACTTCTGGTTTCCTTTCTGCTGCACACTGATTCAGCCCTTGAACTCATTTCAGTTGTTCTTTTGGAACTGAGGTATTTACACCCCAGATCATTAAACTGTTTCTCCCCCAAGTGGCTCAAAAGCAATGTAGTCTCTCTGGTGACAGCTTCAAAGCAATAATAAAGAACTCCCTTTCCTTAAATCAAAGTCTGTGGAGATGATTGTTTTGATTTTATATCCCACACTCATAGAAAGAGATCCTTAAACAATTTAAGGCAACTGTGTGGCCTTTAATATTTTATGCTTCATTTTCTGTGATATTATTAAAACTCTCATAACGGAGACATCATTCAGAAGTGGAGACTGGCAAGACAGCTACAGAGAATATTGCCCCAGGGAACTGTCTGAATAGTACCTGGTGACAAAATCACTATAGTTCATGAGACGTTTTTGAAAATGTGTTCAGAGAGTCCCAGGAAAAAAGTTTTTTAGAGTATGTGATATTTCAGGGGAAATTAGCTAATTTAAAGCCATCTACCATCAGAAACACAAGCAAATAAGCTACACTGCTGATTTTTAGGTTGAAAAGATTCAAGGTTATTTTTGAAGAGCTCTTGTGTTGAATTAGGAAAACTGCCTTAGGAGTCCTCTATGTGCATGGAGGCAGAATTTTGCCTTTTACATCAATGTGTCAGGTGAATTTTCAGCCGCTGATAGCTTAAAAATGCAAGCAGACAAGGGCCTATAGTACATGGCTTGGCGAGGTGGAGGGGACTGAGTGCAGCCCTTTTGCTCACTCTGATGACTAACACATTTGGAGATAACGGTATCAAAGTATTGACTTGGGCTCTTTATTTGGTAAAGTTGCATAACAGATACGAATACTCCAGCCATAGTGAAGCAAATACTCATTTGGTCCTTACATTTCCAATAATATAATTTACAGCCTGTATCAATTTTGAAAATTTGAAGTTACTATTACGTGCTAACCTCTGTCATTATAGTGCCTACTCCTTCAGTTGTCTTTTAGAGTTTCTCATGGTTAATTATTTAAAAATATGACAAAAAGGGCTATTTCTTCCCTCACATAGAACATACACACAGCACTCAGAGACAACAGTTCAGCATATGACCAAAACACCAGATAACATTATTATATTACATCATTAGAATCTCCTATGTTTCCTGCAGGCTCCCAGTATTAACTGCCTTCCCATATTTTACCTCAGGTAAGTGACACAAGGGTCCTTTTGTTTTTAATTATGTTTATGCAGTTAAGAAGCAAAATTTTGCAGGGGATTTAGCTCAGTGGCACAGCACCAGCCCGGCAAGTATGAGCTACTGAGCTTGAGTCCCAGTTTTTTTTTTTTTTAAAGTAAGGTTTTATAAAGTCAGTTAATTCCTGTATATATTCAAGACATAATTAATGAAAAAAGACCAAATAAGTTGGCAAATCAAGCAAGGTTTTTGGAGAGCTTTTATGGGCTGATTTTTAGTTTTTATGTGCGTTTGGATATTGGTAAGAATGATGGAATTATATCAAAAGCTGCTTGAAAATAAAGTCCTATCATAGTTGTGTTATTTAGGAAAAACAAAGAAACCACTCATTTTATCCAAGTTTTCTTTATGTTATACTATATAATAAAAATCATTTACTCATATATAAGAGTGAACTATGGGCTTTCATAGGTAGGACCTTGTGGCTAACAGTTCAGGCTTTGGTTAATTGTTGAAAAGAGAAGTTTAAGACTACAATAAAATTAAAATCATTGAAACTGTGAAGCTAATATTAACAAATATTAGTAGCTTCCCAAATTTAGAGAAACAAACTTTCTAATACATTCACGGATCAGGACACATTGACTGTTCAAAGTTTCAGGTGATCTTATTTCTATTGAGAGTATATATTATAAAATTAATATATATTTCTCTGAATGCTAAGGAAACTGAGCTAAGCTAGCTTAAAACATTTATTCATGTATTACAGATTCAATCCTCTGCAAGGATATGAACAAAGGTACATGAGTAGAAAAGGTCTAAAGCACTGAAGTGGGCTTCATGCAGGAATGGTTGCAATAGGAGAAAAGAAATCGCAGTACAGGAGCTCAGTTCTATTTTTCACACACTGTGGACCAACGGGGATGTTAGTCCAAGAGCAGGGATGGAATCAGTGTATGGAAATAACCTTAAGAAGACACATCAGAGAGAGGAGCTTCTAGTGAAACAGACCTAAAAGGATTAATGCTGAAGACAGTGTCAGTGTGGTCGGATGTCAAGGGTTGCGTGTGAGGATCTGACCAGATGTTAAAAATGGTAAGATCAGAAGTGGGAGATTCCCTCTGCAGTGAGGAGCAAGACCCTCTCTACACCTGGACAAGGCAGGCCAGGCAAGCGTGCACCAAGGTGAAGGCCTGGAAGGCAAACAGGAGCCTTACTGAAGTTCAGTCAGGAGAGTCTTTGTAAGTGAGGCTGGGAAGCCAGTAAAACAGAGTTTGAAGCAAAAGGAATGAAATTATTTTAAGTGTAGATATCATGAGTTCCTTAAATGACAATATAGATTTTCAGACTAGGAATGAAAATATCCCCCAAACTTGCAGCCTATTTTTAATTTTTAATAAGGTAAACTCTAATCATTGTTACCCACATGAAAAGACTCTTAAGGGTCCTTGCTTCAACAAATATAAGGGTTCTGGAGACCGATGTACCAAAATGGAATGTCCCACCCAGAAAAGGTTTTGTCTTGCTATGACCTTGGAAGGGGCCAACTCTAGCATTTACATGAATCGCTAGCAGAGTCTAAATTTTTGCTTCTTTTAGTACAGAAAGATGGCTTTGGTGACCAGAAGGATTTTGACCATACTGGGCTTTTCCTTTCTGCTGTTCTCATTTGCTTAGAAAACATTTTTGAATAGACTCAAAATCTAATTTTTTGTGGTTCTCAACAAATGTTACATAGATAAAATTAAATGACCTTTCTAGTAGAATTGTTAGTGAGAAAAATGCAGATGTTTCAATTAATTGAGGAAAGTTTTTAGCCTGTTCCTTGGGATCTGATCACAGTAAATGTGAAGTTTCCATTGTTCACAAGAGATGCAGATAAATTTTTATGCATTTGGAAGGAGATATGTGATGTCAACAAGATCTTTTTTTTTTTTTTTTTTTTTTTTTTTTTTTTTTTTGTCTTTTTCCTTTTTATCGGTACCGGGGATTGAACTTATGACTGCCTGCTTGCAATGCAGGTGCTTATGCCGCTGAGCTAAATCCCCAGCCCTGTCAACAAGATCTTTAAGAGTAAAGTTATAGTCATTTTGTTTTTTTAAATTATTATAATTCACAAATCTGTTATACCCAAATTACAAAACTGGGGAAATACTTTAGTATCGAAATGGAAAATTTCCTTTAATATACTTATCATCACAAATTTGTAATGACATTACGTATTTAAACAATTTTATCAATTAATGAGTTAAAGTAACCTGGGGGTTGAGGTAGTTGTGGCAGTTAGGTTTGGAACAAGTATCACAATATGTATCGTCATTAGCACACACACACACACACACACACACACACACACAATGTTTGAAGGAGGAATGTTTCCCTCCCTCCTTCCTTTCCTTCCTTTCCTTGTGGATTGAACCCAGGGCTTCATCCATGCTAATCATCACTGAGCTACACTTCCAGCCCCAGGGGGCTTAAATGAACAATTTAAGTACACATTTGTGCAAGTACAAACGGTTAAAATGCAGGAGATTTGAGCACAGAGATTAAAACATGGGAAATGAGACTGTATGAAGGTTCCTTTTACCCAGGGCAAACTTAACGATATGAAAACTGAAAAGGGTAATAACTCTGAGAAAGACAGAAACACGTGCACATAAACACTCACCTTCCAATGGCTTGGGTAGAAAATGAGCTGCTGGTTTGGTTTTCTTTACTCTGTTCCCTTTCATAGCTTGCCCTTCTTTATTTAATCCCAAAAACCAGGCTCTACCAGATTCCTGTTGTCTGTACAGCATGGAGGAGTAGATTACATAATAGTTTTCAAAAACAGACTCTTTAAACTTGCATTCAGGGGTAAAAAGTTCCTGTTGAGAGGATAAAAAAGGAAAATTAGTGGAAGGATCTGAATTTCCACAGTGTTTTCTAGTTAATCTTAGAAATTCTTCCAACATGTTGAGAAAATTTCAGTGCACTGGCTGAGATGGCTAAATAGATTTCTTCTGAAGAAAAGATTTGTCTATTCACTCTTTTCAAAACAAGAAGAAGTGAGAAGAATCTGTTATGTTGGGAATACTGTATGCAAAAGTATGGACATCCTTTAATAAGAGAAATAGAAGACATAAGCAGGCTAACTACTTTTGTTAAAATATAGTTCAACCAGATTATAAGCAGACAGGGAATAAGAAATTTATTAAATATTAAGTACTATAATATATTTACAATAAAGTAAACAAAAATAAAACATATATGTCAGATATTTTATAATCCACATAATTTACATATTTCCTTAGGAATAATTATGTGATGCTTTTAACAGGTGCCAGTTGTTATTTGGATCAATGACACTGTAGGCTGATACATTTTTCCTATAAAATACTCAACTGAAATTTCAAAACAAAACCATGACAATCAGCAGGAACACAACTCAGCCAGGAGAGATTTTACCGTGTGACCACCTGAGGCCATATGGCATGTTAAATAATCACAGTGACAAGAGCCGAAAGCACCTAATTCTATGCCTCAAAGACCCCTTGTGACACTAGAAAGTAAATATCAATAGCTGCACTGAAAGAAAACTGCCCAAAGCTTTTGGAAAGAGTGAAGCATGTTAAATACTACGAGGCTTAGCCATGACCCTCATGGACTGATATGCAGCAAAAGGCTTACTAATTTCAGATTATCATTAATATCACAAATAGTCCTAGATAATGTTATAAACTACATAAAATTCTTATTTAGGAATGAATAATAATGAATATGATGATTACTATTTTGATAAAAATGTATAAAGTTGCAATCTACATGTATTTTGATAGACTTATTAAATGTAATTTTAAACACTGAATTTCCTAATACACACCATGGTCAGTTTTTGTCATTGTTTTTTTGATTGTTTTCAATAAGCTTAACACTGGACTGTTCCTTATGTACATGAAACACAGATGCAAAAGAGCTTTAGTTTCATTGACCCTTTTAATAAAAATCACTGCACTGAAAAATATACACAGGTTTTCATTTTACCTCAGTATATTTTACCACTGTAGAAAATAACTTGCTTTTCTTTTAAAAATATGTAATGGCTTGGGATTCAGCTCAGTGGCATAAGTGCCTGCCTTGCAAGCACGGAGTCATGAGTTCGATCCCTGGTACCAAAAATAAATAAATACATAAATAAAAGTTACATATGGATTCTGAAACACCATTTAGGATCCCAACAATAAAAATCTTTAAGGTGAATTTATGTTAACTGTAATAATGTATAATAATTATACATAAGAAATTTCTTTCAATGTTTCCCATAGAGTCACTAATCAGATGATGTTTTTAGCAACCTGCAATTTATGCACTCCATAACTAATTCACGGAGAGTAAATAATTTTCCAAGGGGCATGCATGTTTCAAATGGCAGGTATTTTTAATGACATTGATTCTATTCCTCTGGAAATCCACAACTAACACATGTAACCTACCACCAAAGAAATTTTTATAGATCTTCATTTCTTTCTTCTACATGATGCTACCTCAGGTGCAAATAAGATTCTATCAAAACAAATATCTTGGCTTTCCAATTAATTTAGTTCACCAAATTACCCCCCCCCCCACTAAGTCTAGTTTTCATTAATAAACAGGAGGTAGATCAAGGCAGTTTCTAAACCTTGGTTATGAAAAGAAGAAAACCTGATGAAATAGTGCTTATGCACACATTAGTAATGAGAAAAATGAAATGGAGTGCTGTCATTCCCACAGACCCAAACTCCTTGCAACTAGGCCTTCTAGGACAGGTAGGTGAGACTTTGACACATGCCTTGTCTTTTTATTGAAGCTGACCAAGGCATCCAAGCATTCCATCTACTGGTTAAAATCTGTTTGGAAACCACAGAGGAGTGGAAGAGTAAGAACCATTTGGGTTGGTCACTCAGAAGAGTTTGGTGAAGATGGCACCTGCCTTCCGGGGCTTGGGTTTTCTGGCCAAGGCCTGCTTCGTGCTGATGTGAAGGGATCAATAATGCTAATTCTTTATTTGTGGATAGTAGGATATTTAGTTCTGAAAATATGGATGCACAAATAGCTTGTCCCATTTTTATCTATTTCTCCCTCCTGTGCAAAAACATGGTGAATACTTCGTGCGTCACTCGCAGGCAATTCGGAAGGCAGTGTTTGCACTCTGAATTCACTGATTTGAATATGAAGGAGAATGAAGACTCTTGGTTCAGAAGGAGTAATTTATTCCCAGTGGATCCCTTATGAATTTCTGATCCTTCATCTTCTTCATGTACGTTTGCGTGGCAGGATTTTAAGACAGTCAACGCCACAGCTGCTTTTTGTGACCTCACAGGGATGTGATTCTTCTGTTTTCTAACACTGAGCATCATTGCCTACATAATACAGGTAGAGATTGATACATTTTTAGCCACGTTTATTCCTGGCTCAACAATTAAATCATACACACATACACCATGGAGATTCACACAAAATATTCAGAGATGTTCTGGCTAGAAAATTTTCTCAGGACTTTTCAAGAATTTTATCTATTCCCCAAAGAATGAAGCACAAGATATTGGCAGTACTCTCATGAGATGTAATAGAATTAATGAAAGTTGAGGCACTTGCTATTTATTTGCTGTCATAAGGGACAAATAGAAGGCAGTGAAACAGATGAACACCGTCTGTGGAGCCAGACCTCCAGGGTTCAATCCTGGCTCTGTTCCTTATCAGCAGTGTGTAGTTGGAGAAATTGCTTAATCTCTCTGGGATTTAGATTCCTCATCTATAAAATGAGGACAGAAATTATAGGTTGAGAAGATAGTTGGAAAGATTGGCTGAATGCATGTTAGAAGAGCATGGGCAACTTAATAATTATTCTAAAATAGAACCACCATTATTTACAGTAAAAGGTATACAGTAGGTGTTTTGTTTCTATCAAGCATTTTGATTCTTTCAAAATTCCAGCAAATCATTAGTTATGGAGCACAGTATTATTATACTAAGTATTGGGCTGATTATCAGATATACCAAAAGAATAAGACTGGTTGTTAATTTGATTTATTTATTTTATTTAGAGAAAAAGACCAAAACAGAAAAAAGGGTAGAAATAATAGTTTCAAAAAATAACAGAAAAAAATCACTAGTTGATAAATTACACACTGTTATCTTAGAAGTAGTTGTTCAAGTTACAAAATCAAAGCATAAAAAGTGGGAAAACAAACAATGACAGTACAAACTATTCTGTTTGATGAACAAAAACTTAGAAGTATGGTTATGTCTTGCACACTTAAACATACAAAAGGGCAGTGTTATGGCAGCCTTACATTTAAACTGCTAGAGTGATTAAATATGGGGTAACAGCATTGTGAAAGATGAGCCACAGGGAGTGCGCTGGTCTATTTGGAGAACTTAGTGCAGAGCTGCTGGCATTGTGGAGAGTGATGTGGATGGGAAGCAGGACTGAGGGATGTTACAGTGTCCTGTACATCAGGAAACTAAGTATACCTCTTTTAAATGAAAGGAAGATGCATGCTATCCTTGAATGAGCAATGAAATAATCACATGCCTGATTAGAATTTTTTAAACACAAAACCATTGTCAATGTGCAGGACAATTTTGAGAAGTCTAGAAATGTTTCTGTATTTCAATGATGACTCCTGATATCCTGCAAAATGGACTAAAAAGCTGTTTGTAACATATGCGTATACATGCTTTCAGGTTAACTGTTAGTCTTAACATAATATAAAGAGGAAGAAGGAGGCAATGTAAGGGAGAAACGTTCCCAGAATTATGTTGCTTGATTAAATGGAGTTTGGAAGCTCCTGGTGGCCAGTACAAAATGAGAAAAAAAATATGATAGAAGCTACTTAAGAGATATGTTTTCCTTTCTCTTGGCACTGACTTCTGTAAGTTATTTCCTTACAAAGGAACCATAAAAGTGACATTGATCATCATAAAGAAAAATTCCCTTGTAAGAAATACAGTCATAATTTTGGTTCAAGTTCTGTAATATGTTTCAGGGATACTGAATGCACTGAAAACCTCTGATAAAATATGTTTCAGGGATACTGAATGCACTGAAAACCTCTGATAAATAGCACTTCTAATAATTGTACTTGAACAGATCTACTCAGACACATGCACATTGGAGGCCTCTAACCCACTGACTGATGCAGGTGCAAAGCAAGCTGGCCTGATGACAATGAGGGTGAGTGGGGCCTCTCCCAGGCTCTGCCCAGGGAGACAGAGAGTGGTGGGTATAATAGTAAAAGAGCAGGTGTTCACGGGGGGCGGGGATGAAAACTTTCAACACAGATTCTACTTTTCAACCTAAGAAATACCAGCTGCCATATAAAACATTTCTTTAACGTGGCCATTATTTAATATTAGGTGAGCCAAGGGGCTCAGTGGACCTCAAGGCTAAGATGAAATCTGCCAGCCTCCAGTTGGAGCCCTGGCTGGAGAATGCTTGCGAAAGGACTGAAAACAGTGGGCACCTAGGTTGCTCACCGATGGCACTGTAACCTGCTTTATGGTTTTTACACGCTTGCCTGGTATAATGATAATGACAGAGAAACACTCTACAAATGGCAGTTATAAAAATGATTATTTGAATTAGGCTTACATAGAAACTCTTGGAAATTGCCAAAATGTGATAGATAAAGAATCTGACATGTCTCTTTTTTCTCTTTCCTTTCTATATTTAGACCCAGTGCCACCTCAACAACAAAATGAATGATTAAGTTCCAGCAGCAGTTTAAGTATTAATTTGCACCATGGCGAACTCAACTCTCAAATCACAGGAGAGAAAAACTTAACAATTAAAACAGAAATTCCGTATCTCCTTTGATGTTGCAGTCGTTTGTGAAATAAAGCACCA